CCAAAACCTTGTTTTGCAAACACTTCAAAGTTAACAAGCCAAGAAACATCATAGCACACAGGTCTCCAACCTTTTTGAGCCTATAGGCAGGGGTCATTTCCTGCAGGAGCGCACAGGAGCGGAGCTCCAGCAGTAAAGAGCCCAGGGGCCGGGTACATGTAACAAGCCCCACCCCCTGCTCCCAGCAGCCCTCAGTCGAAGCAAGAAGCAGCCAGGTAAGCTGCAGAGCTCCCCCTGCCCCCCCCAGTCCAAAACAGTCCAGTGGCACCTTTAAGGCCAAGTTTTATTGAGGTACAAGCTCTCCCTCCTCTGCGAGGACAGATCTGCACGGTCCCCCCCCCCCAATAACCAGCAATCCAGAACAGTCCAGTGGAGCCTGAGCGATGGGTGTCGCCTTCTGACACACTTCCGGTGATGCCAGGGGGCGTGGCGTGGTATATGCAAATAAGTTATGCTAATGAGTTATGCTAATGAGTTCCTGCACCTCTTTTTCTACGAAATGACCCCTGCTCCCAAGGACATTTATTTTCTTCTGTAAAGGTGGAAGACATTGGCTGAGGGCATCCCCCGCTGCCTGGCTGTCGAATCTCCCCAAGAATTGGACTCGGATGTCAAGTTTTCTTTTGTGAAGTCTACGCTATTTAAGACGCGCACCACAGCCAAGTAAGTGATGCACAAAAAAGAGCATGAAGAAAGAAAGGAGATTTTGCCTGGAGGATGGGTAAGGTTGTGACAGCCGGGTTGTTAGCCACTGGAATGTCCTGGTTAGAATGATCCAGTTATTTATTTACATAGTACTTGGGGGTGGTAGGAAGTACCATCAAGTTGCAGTTGACTTATGGCAACCCTGTCGGGTTTCCAAGGCAAGAGATCCTCAGAGGTGGTTGGCCATTGCCTGACTCTGCATAGCAACCCTGGGCTTCCTTGGTGGTCTCCTACCCAAGTATCAACATGGGCCCACCATGCTTCGTTTCTGAGAGCTGATGGTATCGGGTTAACTTGGGTCATTCAGGTCAGGGGATTGATGTACTGACTTTACTTTTCGTCTGCCTTCCTTACTGAGACTCAAGACGGACGACAAAATTTAACAGTGCAATACAAGCGCTAGAAGACATACAATAAACACTGTAATAAGACCGGATTACAAACGATGCCATAAAAACAAAACTGTTAAGGCATGTATGGGGGATACCAAAGTCCTACTTAGAACCTGGAGGACTAGGACTCGCCAAATCCCAAATGCAACCAGGTTCCTTCTGTTATCAGTACAACAGGGTTATAGGGTTAAGAATATACCTCTCCGATTGGTTAGGTACTCTTCTCTTCCGGGAGGGAGCTCTCCAAATCCGGGGGGGGGGTCGGGCAATGACCTTGTCTCTGCCATCAGTGCTGGACAAGAGCAGTTTGGAGGAACAGGGGCCAGAAAGGAGAATGTGGGACGGCCTCCTGTTGTAGCAAGTTACCAAGCAAGGAATTATTCCTCAGTACAGCAATGTACTGAGGAATGTAAGCTGCGGTGGCTCAAGTGGTTAAGACGCTGAACTGCAGGCTGTGGAAGGTCGGTAGTTCAGCAGTTCGAGACCCGAGTGTGCCGCATGACGGAGTGAGCTCCTGTCTCTAGTTCCAGCTCCTGCCAACCTAGCAGTTCGAAAGCAAGACATTGCAAGTAGATAAATAGGTACCACTTCGGTGCGCCTTGGTGTTTAGTCATGCCGGTCACATGACCACGGAAACGTCTTCGGACAGCGCTAGCTCTTCGGCTTTGAAACGGAGATGAGCACCGCAACCCTAGAGTCGGACTCGACTGGCTTTCGAGCAAGGGAAACCTTTACCTTTTACAGCAATCTTAAGGTCACAACAGGAGTTTAGCGGCAGAACAAAAAGAGGGACACAGTCCTCAACATTGGTCCAGCCAAATGAAAAAATAGGGGGGGGGGCAATCCCAGGACAGGTGTGATGCTCCAGTTAGAATTCTGGACTCTGGGAATTTCCAGGAAGATACAAAGAAGCAGGAGACTGTTATTGTGGTTTCCCTCCACAGTTTAGTGGCCAGTGTTCTCACCACTGGTGGGGGCTGCTTCTACAGGAGCATGAAGCCTCTTAAAATGTGGCACCCAGTTTTCTGCCCTTTCTGGACTCCTTAGGCGTGTGGAACTGAAGCTGAAGGGGTTTTCTGATAGCCAAGAATCCTGGGAGGAGTTGGATGACATCAGGCAGGTCTTCTGGTTCAACAAGACCCCTCTCTCAGGTAAGATGGCGGCCCTGCTGAAACCATATGAGATAGTAGCACAAAAAAATGAGTTTCGCAGTAGACAACCAGCAACAAGAAGAACTGTGAAACTAATACCAAATAGTTAAAATACCATCCTTATATTATTTTCTTATATCTCTAAGGCCCCGTTCACATGGGGAAGTAGCTGCGAGAGAGCCATGGGTGGTGGGCGGATTATTCAGGCGCGATCACACCGCCACATTTGGCAAGTGGAGCACACCTGCGGCCAACCCGTGGCTTCCCGTGGAAAACCTGGAGTTAAAAACTACCTGCTTTGATGTAGTATTTCCCAGTTACTGCATGGCGCGGGCGGGCGTCTGATCGGAGACGCGCTGGTAGCCCGTTGCATCCAGCAGCCGTCCATGTCGGGCGCATGCGCACAAACGCGGTCCTGCTGTGTTTTTGCTTTGTTGTCTCGCTGGTCTGATCGGCTGCTGACGGCCGGAGGACGGAGCCGTGGGGGAACGTGAGATCGCGCTATCGCACTTCTTTTTTCTCCGCAGCTAAAAGCCTCCATTCCCCTGCGGATTATCCGGCCCATGTGACTAGGGCCTAAGTAATCCAGTTACAAATTACGTAGACTGTTCACTTATATATCTAAGCAGGGCTCTTTTTGTAGAAAAAGCCCAGCAGGAACTCATTAGCATAATAGGCCACACCCAACACCAGAAACTCATTAGCATAACAGGTCACACCCTGACAGCAGAAACTCATTAGCATATTAGGCCACACCCCATGTTACCAGAAGTGTGGTTATCCAGCCACACCCACCTTTCCCTTCTTATTCTGTTTACCTTGTTTGTTGTCAAAACCCAGGGCTTTTTTTGGAACAGGAACTCCTTTGCATGTTAGGCCACACACCCCTAATGTAGCCAATCCTGATGAGTTCCTGCTGTTGGGTGTGGCCTGTTATGCTAATGAGTTCCTGCTGGGCGTGGCCAACTCAGGAGCCAGCCGGAACTCCGTTCCTGTGCGTTCCTGCCCCAAAATAGCCCTGTATCTAAGTAATCAAGTTACAAATTATATAGGCAAGTGACTATTGTAAAAAATATAGACTTAAACAGAGGATAGTAACTCTGGAGTAGTGAGCAAACCCTGATTAGTTCTTTCTGCAGGTGAATTCTACTCCTCCAAAACAGCGACTCTGAAGGGCTCAGGGCATCGAACAACAGTGGACAATACAGTATATCACATTGGTTAAAACATTAAAAATTACAGTAAACTTTCAGTCAAATTAAATTAGATGGTGATCAAGATTAACAATTATGCTACCACCTTGCGGGGGGGGGGGGGATGAGAGTGCCAGCCAGAATGGACGCTGTTGCTGCCCTCAACCGAAGACCTGGCCAATGAATCGTGGATGTTAGGTCCACTGATGTAACACACCTGAGCCCACTTCCCTTCCCCAAGACCAGGGCTATTTTTGGGCAGGAACGCACAGGAACGGAGTTCCGGCTGGCTCCCGAGTTGGCCACGCCCAGCAGGAGCTCATTAGCATAATAGGCCACACCCAACAGCAGAAACTCATTGGGATTGGCTACATTAGGGGTGTGTGGCCTAACATGCAAAGGAGTCCCTGCTCCAAAAAAAGGCCCTGGGTTTTGACAACAAACAAGGTAAACAGAATAAGAAGCAAAAGGTGGGTGTGGATGGATAACCACACTTCTGGTAACATGGGGGTGCGGCCTAATGTGCCAATGAGATGTGCTGTCAGGGGTGTGGCCTAATATGCTAATGAGGTTTTTCTGTTGGGTGTGGTCTATTATGCTAATGACTTCCTGCTGGGCTTTTTCTACAAAAAGAGCCCTGCCCAAGACTGTGTGCGTGTGCGTGTGATGAGCTGAAGGCTCCTCGTTCTCACACACCAATGCTGCCCTCTGAGAATGGATTCTGCCTCGTTAAATCCTTGCCTTGGTGTCCCCCTGTTCCAGAATTCACCACAAACAACTGGAAAAGCGACAAGTTCTTTGGGTACCAGTTCCTGAACGGCGTGAACCCCCAAATGATCCAGAAGTGCACAGAGATCCCGGGCAAGTTCCCCGTGACCCAGGAGATGGTGGCCAGTTCCCTGGGCGGCGGCACCACCCTAGAGAAAGAGCTGGAGGTCAGGAGCCAGGTGGAGGGAAGGGGTGGGGGAAAGGCCCTCGTGCTGGAGGAGGGACCCCATCCGGTCTCCTTTTGTCTGACGTCTGCTCTGCACTCTTTTCCTCCACAGAAAGGGACCATTTTCCTTGTGGACTACCACATCCTAGAGGGGATCCCTCCGGGGGTCAATAATGAGGAGCAGCAGTACATCACGGCCCCGCTCTGCCTGCTGCACCTCTCCCCTCAGAAAGAGCTGGTGCCCCTGGCCATTCAGGTAACAAGTTTTTTGGGGGGCTGTAAAGGTCTGCCAGGCACGCCCTGATAAGCATCTGGGTGGGATGAGAAAGTACTGCCCCCAGGATGGGCTGGACGGGAGCCCCCTGATGGCCGCGATCAGCATTGCAGTCTCTTCATGGCCCTGTCGGTGGCTACAGTTTATCAGGAGGTATTAGATCAACAACCTCAGATATGCAGACGATACCACTCTAATGGCAGAAGGTGAAGAGGACCTAAAGAGCCTCTTGCTCAGGGTAAAAGAGGAGAGCGCAAAAGTGGGCTTGAAGCTCAGCATAAAAAAAACTAAGATCATGGCATCCGGCCCCATCACTCCTTGGCAAATAGAAGGGGAAGTCGTCGAAGTAGTGACAGACTTCACGTTCCTGGGATCCCAGATCACCGCAGACTGTGACAGCAGCCATGAAATTAAAAAATGCCTGCTCCTTGGGAGGAAAGCGATGGCGAACCTAAACAGCATGATAAAAAATAGAGACATCACCCTGCCAACAAAAGTCCGCATGGTCCAAGCAATGGTATTCCCAGTAGTCATGTATGGCTGCGAGAGTTAGACTATAAGGCAGGCCGAGCGCCGAAGAATAGATTCTTTTGAACTATGGTGCTGGAGAAGACTCTTGAGAGTCCCTTGGACTGCAAGAAGATCAAATCAGACAATCCTAAAAGAAATCAACCCTGACTGTTCCCTGGAAGGCCAGATAATGAAACTGAAGCTCAAATACTTTGGCCACCCAATGAGAAGGGAGCCCTCACTGGAGAAGAAGACCCTGATGCTGGGAAAGACTGAAGGTCAAAGAAGACGGGGACGGCAAAGGATGAGATGGTTAGACAGTGTCACGGATGCAAAGAACATGAAGTTGAGCCAAGTTCAGAGGACGGCGGAAGACAGGAGGGCCTGGCGGGAGCTGGTCCATGGCGTCGCGAAGAGTCGGACTCGACTGTGCGACTGAACAACAACAAATTAAGATGTAAGCCGTGGGGGTCATATCCTCACAGGAAGAGCTAGGCTGGATCGGACCAAGGGCCGTTATAGCCCAGCATCCTGTTTCACACAGTGGCCAGCCGGCCAGAGGCCTCCACAAAGAGCACCGCACTTTACCTAACGATTGTTTGATACTGTTTAATGATTTTTTTACGTTGTTTTAACTGTTTGTCATGGCATTTGCCTCTGTTGTTGGCCGCCCTGAGCCCGTTGGGGAGGGCGGGGTATAAATCTAATAAATAAATAAATAAATGACTGACTGAATAATAAAGCCCACAATCCGGACATGAAGCATCGGTTGCTTGCCGTGTAACATAAGGCCTGCCATAAGAAAGGTAGCAGCCCTGCACATAGCGTGCGGTTTCCTGGCCGTGTGCCACCTTGATTCATTCCAGATTGAACAGTACTGAGACTTACTCGTGAATTCAGCTCTCATACTTTATCAGGTGGCGAACAAGACGAAAAATTACCGGCTCGCAGGCCGGTTTATATGTGCACTCAAACCCACACCCAAACACCCCCCCCCACACACACACCAGTGATAGGTTATTTACAGTGGCCGAGAGCAATGTTCCCTCTAAGCTGTGGAGTCTTGTGAGCAAAAATTCTACTTTGTGAGCTACTGGCATTAAAGTTGTGAGCAAGCAATTTGGCTACTGTATAAATTAGTTTGCTCTGGAGTCATCCTTCCTGAGCTAAGACAAAAATGTGTAAGCCGGAGGCTACAAAACTGTGAGCTAGCTCACACTAACTCAGCTTAGAGGGAACACTGGCCGAGAGTTCCATAGGCTCTTAGCCGGGAGCCTAGCCCTCGGGTTGGTGCGGGCTAGGATCCGCTTGGCCCATTGTCTCTGAGAGCGAAGCTCAGCCGCTTTGCATGACCGCGTGCAGACCGAGCCTCGCACACAGTCGGAGATGAGTACATTACACAGAGCTTTGCTGTCGTCACCCATTTAATGCTGTTTTTCACTCTTCCCCACAGCTGAGCCAGACCCCTGGCCCGGACACTCCCATCTTCCTGCCCAGTGACTCTGAATGGGACTGGATCTTGGCCAAGACCTGGGTGCGCAATGCCGACTTCCATGTTCACCAAGCACTCACCCACCTGCTCCGGACACACCTGTTGGCTGAAGTCTTCACCCTGGCCACCCTCCGCCAGCTGCCCATGTGCCACCCTGTCTACAAGGTGAGGCTGAGATTGGGGAGGGATCTGTGACAGTCCTGGAATACAGTATTGGGTGAAGGACTCGGTTTAGTTGTTTTAAAGCCAGATTCTGGTCCTTCTAACTGAGACGTGTTTGGTTAATGCCAAAGATGTCTTCGGATTCACGTTCCTTGTTCTTCCTCATGGCTGGAAGAAGGAAGTGTGCAAAAGGAGCCTGTCTGTGTAGGTGAACTTAATCTGCATAAAACATCCTGGTTTCAGAATTTGGACAGTAGAATTCTGCACGTCTTCCTGGAATAAGGACAGGGCTTCCGCACAGTCCAGCCATGTTCTGCTTTAGGGAAGAGTTTGGGGCCAGGAGAAGAGCCAAGAAGCAAACTGATGTTTCATCTCTTCCTTTTCTGTCTTCCGTTCTCTTTCAGCTGTTGATCCCCCACACCCGCTTCACCCTTCACATCAACACGGTGGCCCGAGAGCGCCTCATTAACAAGGGCGGGGTCTTTGACAAGGTAAGCAAGTCTGCCTTTCACCACCACCCCATTTTTGTCCCAACCCCAAAAGCAAGCGAAGTTTCAGTCCCGGTCACACTGGCGGGAAAAGCCACGCCGGAAGTGCGGCTTCTTAGAGCTGCACCAAAGGAAAGCGCGGCATCGGAATCAGACGCTTCCCCCAAGCCGCCGCACATATTCTGTCCGGTGCGATCACATGGCCGGGGGAAGCGAGGCAAAGACGAGCAAGCCGAGGCTGCTGGAGTATTCATGTGCATGCGCAGTCCGGCAGTCCCTCGAATGACACAGGCTGCCGGCAATGTTCCCTCTAAGCTGTGGGGTCTTGTGAGCAAAAATTCTACTTTGTGAGCTACTGGTATTAAAGTTGTGAGCGAGAGATTTGGCTGCTGGATAAACTAGTTTCCTCTGGAGCCGTCCTTCCTGAGCCAAGACAAAAATGTGTGAGCCAGAGGCTCAAAAACTGTGAGATAGCTCACACTAACTCAGCTTAGAGGGAACACGGGCTGCCGGCACGTCTGCAATCCCACGCCCGGCCTTGCTGCAGATCTTCCGGTAGGTACTACATTTCCCCTAGTACCTTTTTGATCCGCGTTTTCGGCCGGAAGGGACGGGTTGGGGGCGGTGGCGCGACGCTTGCCAGATGTTGGCATCTGATCTTGTCCATTTGATGCGCCCTCAACCGGTCCACTTTGCGGGGCAAATCCTCCCGTGTGACCGGGGCCTTCGATTCCTTACAGGGGTTGATGACGGTCTCCTTTCTATCCCGCTTCCAGGCAACCGGCACTGGTTACGATGGCCTGATGCAGCTTCTGCAGAAGGGCACCGAAGCCCTGACTTACTCCTCCCTCTGCCTGGGGGAAGAGCTGGAGTCTCGTGGCACGGCCTCCGTGCCCAACTACTACTACAGGGATGACGGCCTCAAGATCTGGGAGGCTGTGGAAAGGTCAGGATGGGAGTAGGCTGGACCGCAGGGGGTGGGAGCGATTGAAGGCATGGCCCAGGCGGGCTGGATCTCATCAGATCTCGGAAGCTAAGCAGGGTCAGCCCTGGTTAGTATTTGGATGGGAGACCTCCAAGGAAGTCTAGGGTCACCACGCAGAGGCAGGCAACGGCGAATCGCCTCTGATCGTCTCTTGCCTTGAAAACCCTATGGGGGTCGCCATAAGTTGGCTGCATCTTGACAGTACTTCCCAGCACCACCACCAGAAATATGGATTGGGATGATTCCTGTCCTTTCTCTGTCTGAGTCGGCAGTCGGGATGCCACTGGAAAATCTCAGCCATGCTATTTCAACTGGAAAACCTTTGGTTCACGCTTGCTTCTCCCTTGTGCAAGAAGAGCTCACAAGACTCTGTTGTGATGCCTTTTCCCATTCACCCTCGCCCATGAACTTTACACAATTTTAATGGAGCTAGATCAAAATGGTGTCAAGGTCCCATCAAAACAACGTAGTCATTCTCGTAGAAAAGAGGATTTTATTGAATCAGTGAGTCACTAGAAAGGTTTCTGTTTAGAATAACACGGAAGGCTCATAGCGAGAGATATAAACGGATTTCAAAACGCTGCTAAGCCAATGAGTCTATTTCCCGCGTGGGGATTCAAAGCGCCAAACTGCTGAGAACCAAAACGCTTCAGTTATCGTTACTGAGCTTTTCTCAGGCTCTGCTAACTAAAACAAAAAGCTGCTGCCCTCCTTATCTCACACCTGCTCGGCCTTGAATGTTGCATGGTTCCCTAACAAGCTCTACGTTTGAGCATGCGTCTGGGTTGCTAAGCGAGGGGGGAAAACAATACACAAAGCAGGAAGGAATTACACAGGTTACCATCCACAGGAACAAAGCATGTGCAGAGTGTATAAAGGGTAGCCATGTTAGTCTGTCTGTAGCAGAAGAAATGTATGTAAGTAGTCATGTATGGCTGCGAGAGCTGGACTATAAGGAAGGCCGAGCGCCGAAGAATAGATTCTTTTGAACTATGGTGCTGGAGGAGACTCTTGAGAGTCCCTTGGACTGCAAGAAGAACAAATCAGTCAATCCTCAAAGAAATCAACCCTGACTGTTCCCTGGAAGGCCAGATAATGAAACTGAAGCTCAAATACTTTGGCCACCAAATGAGAAGGGAGCACTCACTGGAGAAGACCCTGATGCTTGGAAAGATTGAAGGTCAAAGAAGACGGGGACGGCAAAGGATGAGATGGTTAGACAGTGTCATCGATGCAACGAACATGAAGTTGAGCCAACTTCAGAGGACGGCAGAAGACCGGAAGGCCTGGAGAGAGCTCGTCCATGGGGTCGCGAAGAGTCGGACTCGACTGTGCGACTGAACAACAAAGCAGAAGAAAAGAGCAAGAGTCAAGTAGCATCATGGGCAGGAACGCACAGGAACGGAGTTCCGGCTGGCTTCAGAGTTGGCCATGCCCACTACAGCCAAAACCTCTGCATGTGTGGCTACAGAGGGAAGGCCTGGAGAGTGACCCCCCCTCGGTGACTTTGAGGTGGGTGGGCCAGGGCGCCCCCCCTGGAAGGATCAGGGAAGCATTTAAATGCCTCTCTGTGCCTTCCCCAGCCTGTCCAAGGGCCGGCGTGCCCAGAGAAGCCAAGGGAAGGCATGGGGGTGTGTGGCCTAATATGCTAATGAGCTATGCTGTCAGGGTGTGGCCTAATATGCCAATGAGTTTCTGCTGCTAGGTGTGGCCTGTTATGCTAATGAGTTCCTGCTGGGCTTTCTCTACAAAAAAAGCCCTGTTAAAAACTAATGAAGTCTATGGCGATGAAGGAGCTTTTGTGCATCGCTGCTCACTTCTTCAGATACCTGACCACAAAGGTAATATTAAAAATTGTAGAAATCATTCCACTTTCCAATATATAGGACTGATGGACTCCCAATCTAGCTGTATCGGAAGAAGTGAGCAGTGACTCACGAAAGCTCCGACCCAGCCACCAATTTTGTCAGTCTTTGACGTGCTCCTGGACTCTTGCTCTTTTCTACAATTTCGAATGTAACCTTTGTGGTCAGTTGCATATAGATAGCATTAAAATGATGCAAAATAAACAAGCAACCACACCAACCCATCAGCTTTAAAGCCAGCAAAACTAAAAAAGTAAGGAGACAAACGGAAACGAAGAAAGGAACATGCATTCACACTCGCAGCTTGCAAACATCTTTAAGCATCTTCACATGGCCACTAGATTTTGCCTAAATGGATGCACACTTAGGGGGATGCTCATTTGTACCACGGGTGGACTGGGAGGAAAAAAACAGCCCTGGAAAAGGGCCCACCCTGGCCCTTTCCCCTCCCAAAGGAGAGAGGGAGGGGTAAAGGTGAAAGAGACAGGCTGCAGGCCTGCCCAGCCAGCCCAAGTAACTTGTGGCTCGGCTAGGCACCTCCTCCCCCGTGCCACCCTGCTCACAGCTGGGTTGCAGCAGCCTAGTTGTGGGAGTGGCATTGGCCCCCTAGGAGAGGTCCCAGAGGCTATAATGGCCAGTCCACCCCAGATTTGTAGACATTTCTAGTCCCGGTCACACGAGCGGGATGATCCGCTGCCGAAGGGAGGCAAATCAGAGCTGGAGCAAAAAGAACCGCGGGAGTGCGACCCGACATGCCCCCGCGGCTCCGTGCTCCCTGCTCCAGCAGCCGATCACATGTTGCGCAGCAAGCCGGCAGTAGCGCGGTTGTGCGCGTGCATGGGATGGGGAACGGCGCTGGCTGCGACGGGCTACCAGCACTTCCCCGACCAGCCGCATTCCGTTGCTGCGCCTCATCTGGTAGGTACTGCTCTTTTGCTAGTACCTTTTTGATGCACGTTTGTGGGCCGAAGGTGTTATGTACGTGGACCGCCACCAGGGGTCCGCGGCACATGCAGGAGCTTGGCTCCTGGAACAAAGAAAACTTTGGATCCTGGTTTCCCCCAGCCCCAACCAATAGCCACTTTGGCGGGACATTCAAACCCTCCAATGGGAATGGGGGGTGCTGGGTGGATATGTATATAGTTGGCCCTGTCGGGCCGTTAGAGTTAGTCCTAGTAGGAGTGAAGTACGATAAACGTGTGCAAAAGCATGTCATTGTCTGAGTCCTCCATGCGGCAAACCCAGTACTTTACAGAAGGGACGGATCGGGGATGGGTGCGCGCAGCTTCCCAGATGTTGCGGTGTGATCGCGCCCGCTTGATGCGCCCCCGATCTGTCCCTCTTGCGGGTCAAGTCCTCCCGTGTGACCGGGGCCTCTAGAAGCCAAAATAGTTTTGAGAAACGGAAGGTAATTCCTCAGGATTGTTTTCCCCCTGCACCTTTAGAGTTCTGGGTCCCAGAGTACCTGCGATCTGTCAATAGCGTTTCCCCTCCTTGTGTCCGCACTGCTCTGCAATGATATTTCCGCTGTTGCTGGATACATGGAGGTGACCCTGTGTGTGTTTTCCGTGGGGTGGCCCTCACCCTGCTGCCTGGCCGGCTTCTGCTTTCCCATTGCAGCTTTGTCTCGGGCCTGGTTGACTTCTATTACAAGAGTGATTCCTCCGTAACAGAAGATTCTGAGCTGCAGTGTTGGATAAAGGAGATCTTTACGGAAGGGTTTCTGAATCGGAAGTCCTCAGGTACAACCCAGTCTTCTCTAGGGATGGGATGAGCTAAGAATAGACCTATCAAGCAACCACTCCATGCTTGTCAGGACACCTTATTATAAGAACATAAGAGATGCCAATGTTGGATCAGGCCAAAGGCCCATCCAGTCCAACACTCTGTATCACACAGTGGCCAGAAATACCAGTGCCATCAGGAGGTCCACCAGTGGGGCCAGGACACTAGGAGCCCTCCCACTGTTGACCCCCCCCCCAGCACCAAGAAGACAGAGCATCACTTGCCCCAGAGCCCCTATCTATACCTTGTGGCTAATAGCCACTGATGGACCTCTGCTCCATATGCTTATCTAATTCCCTTTTGAAGCCGTCCATGCTTGTAGCTGCCACCACTTCCTGTGGCAGTGAATTCCAAGTGTTAATCACTCTTTGGGTGATTATAGCTTAACAAACTCTGAACCATAGGATCCCAGGGGCACATTGGTGCTTGCTAACACCTTTCCTGGTGCTCATCAGGAGTTTTTAGAAGGTGGGTGGGGCCATACGGGTCTTTTGCCCAGCAAGTCTCCTGATTGGCCACTGGAGATTTGATTGGCTGTGCAGATTTTTTTAAGACATTCCTTTGGCAGCAGCTGCTACCACAGCACAAGACCTTCACAGTGTGACTGAAAGTAAGCTTTGGCAGCCATTTTATGGCTGGCTCTGCCTCCTGAGGAAGCTGTTTTGTGGCAGCCATTCTGTGGCTGTGTCCACCATGCTGGGTCAGAATTTTAAAGGTGCCTACACAGTTTGGTGTAGTGGTTAAGCACATGGACTGTAATTTGGGAGAAACAGGTTTGATTCCCCACTCCTCCACTTGCACCTGGCTGGATGACCTTGGGCAAGCCGTAGCTCTGATAAGAGCTGTTCTTGAAAAAGAGCAGTCTGTGTCAGAGTTCTCTCAGTCCCACCTACCTCACAGGGTGTCTGTTGTGGGGAGGTGAAGGGAAAGGAGTCTGTCAGCCGCTCTGAGACTCCGAGTGAAGGGCGGGGTATAAGTCCAATCTCTTCTTCTCTCAAGAGCAGTTCTCAAGAGAGCTCTCTCAGCCCCACCCGCCTCACAGGGTGTCTGTTGTGGGGAGGGGAAGGGAAAGGAGTTTGTGAGCCGCTCTGAGACTCCCTTGGGTAGTGAAGGGCGGGGTATAAATCCCATCTCTTCTTCTTCTTCTTCCTCAAAGTAGGTGAATGGGCGACAATGTGGCAAATGAAGTTCAGTGTTGGTAAGCGTCAGTTGATGCACATTGGGACAAAAAAAATCCCAACTTCAAGTAGAGGCTAATGGGGTCTGAACTTGCTGAGACTGAGAGGGCAAAAGATTGCGGGGTCATAGTGAACGTGCTGCAGCCGTGAAAAAGGCAAACTCTGTGTTAGGGATTATTAGGAAAGGGATTGAATTAAGCCAATATTATAATACCCCTGTATAGACCTATGGTGCGGCCTCTTTTGAAATAGTGAATACAGAAGGCAACATCAGAGGAAGGCCTCAGCCTCTCTGCCCTCTTGTTGGCCCTTCAGAGGAACTGGTTGGTCACTGTGTGAGACAGGATGTGGGACTAGGTGGACCCTCATTGGTCTGATCCAGCAGGGCTCTTCTGATGTTCTTACGAAGGCTCTATGCCCTGCTGTTGGCCCTCCGGAGGAACTGGGTGGCCACTGTGTGAGACGGGATGCTGGACTAAGTGGACTATTGGTCTGATCCAGTAGGGGTCTTCTGAGGTTCTTATAAAGGTTCTATGTCCTGCTGTTGGCCCTCCAGAGGAACTGGGTGGCCACTGTGTGAGACAGGATACTGGACTAGATGGACCACTAGTCTGATCCAGTAGGGGTCTTCTGAGGTTCTTATGAAGGCTCTATGTCCTGCTGTTGGCCGTCCGGAGGAACTGGGTGGCCACTGTGTGAGACAGGATACTGGACTAGATGGACCACTAGTCTGATCCAGTAGGGCTCTTCTGAGGTTCTTATGAAGGCTCTATGCTCTGCTGTTGGCCGTCCGGAGGAACTGGGTGGCCACTGTGTGAGACAGGATACTGGACTAGATGGACCACTAGTCTGATCCAGTAGGGCTCTTCTGAGGTCCTTATGGTGACTAAGAGATATAAGGCAAGAGGGCCATGACTGCAATCAACTGAGAGGAAAAGATGACAAGTGGGTTTGGCAGTCCAGAGAGCCTCAGAGCTCTTCAGAGAAAGTTTCTAATTTTGCTGTTGTCTGGAAATGTCCTGGGTTTTTTTACTTTTTAGTAATTTCGATGGTTTCAATTTTAACGAATAGTTATATCGTACTTGGTTCTGACTGATTGTTACTGTTATTAACTGCCTTGATCCTTTGGTGGGAAAAGGTATATTAAATGCATAAATAACCTTTGTGACCATGAGGACTGGAAACCGTTTGGTAGAAACAAGCTGATAATTGGAAATCTGCTGGATTTCAGATGTGGAGTGATTACAGGACTGTGTACAATGTGTATGCTCATGGACTTCGCTCCCTACTATTACTCAGTAGAGGATTCATCCCTGATCGATTGCTGTTGAAGGCTGATTTCCTTTTGCAGGCATTCCCACCTCGCTAGGCAGCGTGAAAGAGCTCAAGAAGTTCCTGACTATGGTGATATATACCTGCTCAGCCCAGCATAGTGCTGTGAACAGTGGACAGGTAGGAGCCAGGAGCCCCTTTGTTGCACCTGCAAATCCATGGCGTTCATGTGGAACAGACCCAGTTCCCAACTAGAATACAAGGGACTATAGTCTGGTGGGGATGCTGATACTTCCCTAGTAGGGATCTCTGGCATTGCCTTTCCCCAGGACTATATTCCTCGGGCTAGGTTGGGGAAAGAGAACGCCTCTTAAAATCAGTTGTATTTGACCCTGTAAGTGTCTTGGTGGGAGGGAAGGCGGGACGGTGTAGCCCGATCCTATCAGATCTTGGAAGCTAAGCAGGGTCGTTACTTGGAAGGGAGACCACCAAGGTAGACACTGCAGGGGAAGGCAATGGCAAGCCACCCATGCTTCTCACTTGCCTTGAAAGCAAGTTATGACTTGACAGCACATCTCTCCCTTATATATAATTGAGTAAGACACAGCGTAAGACTGAGCGGAGACAAAATGCACTCCGTCAGCCATTGGCTGGCCAGCTGCCGCTCAAGGCTGCCGCCATGCCATTGGCTGGAAGGCGGACGCTGTGTGTGAATGCGCGGTGGCGATGCGTCCCTTGCAGCGGCCCAATTTCCCTCCCCCACCCACCCAGTTGGAGCCCGGCGGTGGCGGCGATTCCTTCTCCCCCCCCAACTGACAGGAGAATCTTTTGCAGGCCCCCCTGCCTCCCCCCCTTCTTCCTTCCTTTCTCTCTCTCTCCCCCCTTCCCGTCCACAACGAGCTTTGCTCCCTAGTACATACATATATATCTTGGAATGGCACTCCATTGCCACTAGAGGGAAGCAGAGAGCCATGGGTACACAGATGCCACTTTTTAGCACTGTCAAATCCAGGTTGGAAATTCCTGGAAATTTGTGTGTTATAATGCCATAGAGTCCACCCTTCAAAGCAGCCAGGGGAACTGAGCTTTGTCTTCTGGAGAGCAGCTGTAATTCCAGAAGGTCTCCTGGCCACACCTGGAGGTTTGCAACCCTTCACCAAGAGGGCCACATGGAAAGCTTCACACAACGTGGATAAGACCACATCAGGTGGTACTCCTGGAGTTCTGCTGCCTGTCACTTGGATTTCTAAGGGGCTGCAGGAGAGCGGAGGGAGAACTGGCAGGCTGCTTTTTCTGATACCAGGGGCTGCTTTTTCTGACACCAGGGGCATGCACAGTTACAACTGGCAAGAACAAGCAAAGTCACTGCAGTAAGATTGTCAGCATTTAGTATTTTACCCACAATGCATTTCAGCAATGAACCAAAGTGAATATCTGAATATATGTTCATGATTGATTTCAGTTACTGTGATTAGAATCATCAAAGGCACTTAACATATGTGTTATGTATTGAGATGTATATAACTGCCTTGTGAACTGTGCCATTGAGATGCCATGTTAAGCTTCGCCCTGGGCTAGGATCCTAATGTAACCAATAGGAGCCCTAGCCCAGAATGTGTTTGCCAATCACCGTGCAGAGCGGGATCGCTTGTGATTGGTCCTTATTGCTTCAACCTCATAGGTTGCTTATTGTACAGTGGGTGTGGCTACATTAGCCGGGAATGTTTAAATACAGAGCAGCCAGTGCTTGTCCTTTGGCTCGAGTGGTTCGAATGATGGGTCCTGGCTGGTGATCGTTGTACCGTGAAGTAACAGAGCTGAAGAATAAACCGCATTCTTGCTGAATCACTCTCCGACTTCTTTGTTAAGCACCATGTAAGTGTTAAGTACACTTGCTAAGTTAAACTGACTTAGTCAGTGGCAGAGTGCAAAGGGTTTCATAAGCGATGTGTACAACAGTACTGAATATCTGGGATTTTTTTGGTCACAGTATGAGTTGGGCGCCTGGATGCCCAACTTCCCCTCCTCCATGAGGAAGCCCCCTCCGAAGACCAAAGGCACAGCGAACGAGGAGAACTACAAGGAGACCATCCCCGCGATCAACACCACCTGCACCATCCTCAGCACCCTCTGGGTGCTCAGCGCCGATCCCGGAGACATGGTGAGTGCGTGGGTGGCGCACCAAATGCTCTTGAGGGAGAGAAGGGTGCATCGAACCCGGGAGACAGCAGTGCCCATACATGTAGCGTCGCCGACTCCAAGTTTGGAAATTCCTGGAGATTTGGGGGGGCGGAAACTGGAAAGGGTGTGTTTGGGGAGGGGAGGGACCTCAGCAGGGTCTAATGCCATAGAGTCCAGCTTCCAAAACAGCTGTTTTCTCCAGGGAGACTCATCTCTGTAGCCTGGAGATCAGTCAAAATTCCAGGAGATCGCCAGGTACCTCCTGGAGGCTGGGAACCTTACACCACATGATGTCAGAGCTCTCTCAGCCCCACCTGCCTCACAGGGTGTCTGTTGTGGGGAGGGGAAGGGAAAGGAGTTCGTAAGCTGCCCTGAGACTCCCTTGGGTAGTGAAGGGCGGGTTATAAATCCAGTCTCTTCTCTTCTTTAGAGGTAAAGTAACACAAGGGGTACAGCAATGGATAATCACAAAGACAAACAAAATTGCTGCAGATGTGCATACAATTGGAAAATAGTTGGCAATAATATAGAACAACAATAGAATTCTAAGATGTTTTAATTCTTGTTTTCAGCAAAGAGCGCCATCGAGATGACGTCGAGATGTGCAGAAATGCAGATTACGAAATTCTCGAGTTCTGGCGTCCGATGGAAGTTGAAAATTGTTAGTCCAAAGCTGTTTGGAAAAGTTTCTGGATTTAGGAATTCCTTCGTGTGAAGTATTTGTATGAAGAGCATTAAAGAACTGAGATTCTGAGATTTGTTTGGTAAAGAACTGTATCGAAACGAACGCTAGAACTCGAGAAATTCGTAATCTGCGTTTCTGCTCATCTCGACGTCATCTCGATGGCGCTCTTTGCTGAAAACAAGAATTAAAACATCTTAGAATTCTATTGTTGTTCTATATTATTGCCAACTATTTTCTAATTGTATGCACATCTTCTCCTCTTTAACCTTATCCAGTCAGGTGGCATGGTTGCAGCATTCAGATCATAGTGGGCTGGATCCACTGCAAGGCGTTGGCAGAGTGGATCTTGCCTCTCCGCCCATTGCAGACATATGCTTCCCCCCTTATATCTTTGTAACAGAAGGGCTAGAACGGGGGTGTCAAACATGCGGCCCGGGGGCTGGATGAGGCCCCCAGAGGGTTTCTCTCAGGCCCGCAGTGGAACTGGCTGTCGTCTTCTTCTTCTACTGCTGTTGCATCATCGTAGGTTTGCAGCTTACAGATACACACCTGAACAGCATACTCAAGGTTGCAACAGCACAGACATTTTGATGTAATAATTCAGAGCAAGAGGTGTCAGTTATCAGACACTGTTAAATAAACAAAATATTGCAAGAGCGCTAATGTTTTAAGCAAGTTTTTGTTTTAGGTGGAAAAAAACCCACCTTTGTGTTTGTGTCCTTTATAAAGTTTATATCTCCGCTACCTGGCATTACATTTTATGACACACGTGGCCCGGCCCAACAAGATCAGATCCGGCCCTCATAACAAATGAGTTCAACACCCCTGGCCTAGAGTCTTACTCAGAGGTCATTTCGGGGGGGGATCGCGGGGGATCGCCGTCCCCCCGGGTGAGGTACGGGGGCGGGGCACATGATGAAGCCCCGCCCCCGTTTTTGGCCAGGGAGGGCCTTCGCGGGGCTTCCTTGCACTCCCGCCGGCCTTGCAGGTCCACCGCCGGGCCCCTCATGGGGCTCGGCAGTGGAGCTGCAAGGCCGGCGGCGGCCGGGACCGTTGGGGGCGGGGTGTGTGGCCTTATGACACACTTCCGGTGATGTCAGGGGGTGTGGCCTTATGACACCCTTCCGGTGATGTCAGGGTGTGTGGCATATGCTAATGAGTTATGCTAATGAGTTCCCCTAGCTCTTTTTCTACGAAACGACTCCTGATCTTACTTTTTCAAAAAATGAAATCTAGATATCCAGAGAACCTGTTGCACATATTGTTAGAACTGTTGTGAGAAATGTGGGTGTGGCTGCAGGGGAGAGGCTTATTTCTCCTGAGAATTCAGAGTCAACCCGAGACGCCTCTCGTTCGCTGCATGCCATGGGGTGGGGGAAACTTTTGCTTGCATGTTTTATTTTTCTGTGTATTCTATCAATGTTTAGGAAATAGGATTCTACTGTGTGAATGTTTTTCTATAATAAAGATAAGTTTACACCTCTGCCTTTGGTAAGGAGGCAATCACTCAGGAGCCACACGAACTGAGGGGGAGTGTGGGTGGCACGGGTAAACACGCTTTCACAGACACGTGCAGCCACACCCACATTTCTCACAACAAGAACATTATAACAATAATCAATTGCTGATTTTTTTAAAAGAGGGGTGGGGAAATCCCAGCTGGCTGGGGGAGTAAGTCGCTACCACGGGGACTGCGTCGGGGAAAATGGCAGCCATGGCAGGAATAACTAAACTTTTCCACTCGCCTGGCAGCCATTGTGGTTTTTCCCAAAACTTCGCAACAAACAAAGCAGATTTGTGAAAGGGGGGGGGGACCCTGGGAACTGTATTAATGTACCACTGTGCTATGGGGAAACAGAGAAAAAAAATCCTGTATCGCAGCAGCATTGAACGCAGGGTTGGTAACTCATATGAAAATGTCCTGGCTGTGACCAGGCTATGCTTGGCCTTTTATTCTCTATGGCCAGACACTTTCATCTCATTAACCATTACCTAATGTACTTTCTCTCTTCCTTTCCCCCGCCTTAACAGATCCCCCTGGGGAAGTACCCTGAAGAGCACTTCACTGAGAAAGAGCCTAAGAGTTTAATGGAGGCCTTCCAGAAACACCTGGAGACGATCTCCAAGGAAATTGAGAAGCGGAACCAGCTGCTGGAACCATGCTTCATTGGTTATAGGCACCTTTACCCTCCAGACATAGAGAACAGTGTCTCCATATAGTCAGACGGCTACTCTGCTTTCCCCCTCCCAATACTTGGTTTTGTGTCTACACACAGCCCTGCTGGCCGCTGTATTAACTTGCATCATTTTGTTAGCTTCATGAGACCCAGTTTGGTGTAGAAGAGAAGAAGAAGAAGAGATTGGATTTATACCCCGCCCTTCACTAGGAGTCTCAGAGCGGCTTACAAACTCCTTTCCCTTCCCCTCCCCACAACAGACACCCTGTGAGGTGGGTGGGGCTGAGAGAGCTCTGACAGAAACTGCTCTTTTTCAAGGACAGCTGTGCCAGAGCTTGTGACTGACCCAAGGTCACATCAGCAGGTGCAAGTGGAGGAGTGGGGAGATCTGGGAGAACTGGGTTTGATTCCCCACTCCTCCACTTGCAGCTGCTGGATGACCTTGGGCAA